AATCCAGTCCCCTGGTTTTCGCCTCTGCCAGCGCAAACGGGGCGGGGCCTCGAGTGAACCGCGGTGTCAGGGCCCAGGAGAATGCGCCACGGCTCGGCGGGCCAGAAAAGGCGGAAAACCTTCCGCGCTCGGGAGACGGAGCGGAGCGGTGTCACCGTCCAGGCCTCAGGGAAGAGACGTGCGCCTCCAGTCCAGATCCAGGACTCCACCCGTTGCTGGGCGACCCGAAGTCACTTCCGCGCGGCTCTGGCCAATCCTGCCGGAGCGAGCCCTTAGTGATTGGGCATCCTGGGAAATGTAGTCCAGTCCCAACCGGATAGACGCTGAAGCCGAAAGGAAGAATTCTGATGCAGGTGTCCTGGGCTCTAGTATCTCCTTGTTTTAGAGCATTATGGAGAATAAACGATCTCCAGTTAAAAACCTTGCTGTCACCCGGGATGATTCACAAACTTTGTTGTGCATATAAGCACAACAGTATACACGTGGAAAACTTAAAAATGCTAGTTCGTATGTCTTCTGATTTTCCAGAGTTGGAAAAGCTACCTCCAGTACCAAGGTTCTGTTGATAATAATGTCTGGTATTTAGGGAACGCCTAATGTGGGCTGCTGGCCAGGAATTCCTCAATCATCTCTCCCATACCTGACACCTCGGATGTGGCTCAGCTACAGAGGGTGGCTGACCACTCAGAGGGACACAGAAGAAAGCAGAACCAGAGAATTCCTGGCAGTTGACAACCCGTACCTGCATTACAATTACTCAGCGGTGTTCTCCCAACCAAACTGACAGCGCTATTAGGCAGGAAGTTAGTCGTTAGCAGGTTGAAAATCAGGGGCTGCGGGGGCTGCAAAGTGAAAAACAAAAACACGGGACATTTTCCTTTTTTCTTTCACTTTTTTGTTTGTGTTTGTTTTTCAAGGGGTCTCATATGTGGCCTTGAACTCTGACCTCAAACTCCAGGGTACCCTCCTTCTGCCTCAGCCTCACAAGTGCTGTATTACAGACATGCCCCACCATGCCTGGCTTTCCTTCACTTGCTCAATCACTGGTGATGGAAGAATCCGCACAAGCTTACAGTTTGAAACTTTAACTCAAGAGAAAGTGATATCCTTTAAGTGCACCACTGAGGTCCAGACCAGAGGGCAGAGGTTGAAAACCTTAAGATCTCAAAACAAACTAAATGGAGACACCACCTAAGGAGTACCCGGGAAACGACTTTTCTGTAAAGTAGGTCAACACAGCCTATTTGCACAAGAACAATGATCTTGGAAGAAGGAAAGAATATTCCTCGAAAGATCCAGTACATCCTGTACGTGTAACCTGAGACCTCATTCAATGTGACTGCCATCTTGGCCCCCTTCACCCTTAAAGGTATACTCTCCCCTCTTCTCTCGCTGTCTTCTCTCTCTGAAAAATCTGTTATTAGCAGTAAACTCTACCTGTACTCTATGCCAATGATGACAAACCTTTTAGAGCTTTTCAGTGGTACACACAGCCCGCTGAGGCATGATGTAGGTTCGCCACCACTGCTCTACGCAATGGCCTATGTGTCTCGTGTGCAATCTTTCATCAAAGACACCGAATGGAGGTAATGTTTCCAGCTCCTTGCAGAGTTTCGACCTCACTCTGTCAGGACCCAGCTTCCAGGTAACAGCACCACAACAGCTGATGCTTTTGTGATCACTAGCGCATAGCAAAACACTCAGACCTGCAAATTTGTTAAATGAGTAACTTAAACAGATGTTACTTTTAGTTCTAATCCTCTGGGAATCAATCTAATTAAAACCAGAATTTCAAATGTACAAAGTAGACACTCTGAAGTCCTCTCAGAGTGCCTGACAAGAATTCTATCTGTAAAAAAAAAGAATTCTATCTGTAAATGTCCTGTATCTTCAACTTGGACTTGCATAAGGAATTTTCTACGACATTCCTCCATTTAGAATTTGTTTCTCTATGTCATGTACCCGCTGACTGTGATTTCTGTGGTCTAGGCCTTAGAGAACGTAAGTCTTCACCAGAATAATTACATATCTCTAAGACCAGGGAAATGATGTGGCCGTGTTGTTTCATGTCTGTGTGTCCCATAATTGGTTTTTGCTGTAGTATTTCAGCTCTACATACTCTTGGGGTGGGGGATAGTGATTTCCTGAACATGCCCAACCAAAAGCTTACTTCATGAAACCACCACTTAGTACTAGCAGGTCTGCTGTCCCATCTCAAACTTACTGTGACATGATTTTTTATCAAATCTGATCAAATGTTCTTATCAAATGTGTTTGTGTCTTTTACTGTGAATCTGCTGCTCCTCCATTCACCTCTGCTTAGCCCTCTTGCCTCTCGTTATTATTTTAATTTATTTATTTTATATGTCTACGAAATTATGTCATGAAGTCCATGGATAAAATCAAAGTGGTGAGCCTCCATTTCTCTAATGATCAGTAGCCTCTGCTCAAGTCTTGCCTCCTGAACTGACCTGGGGCTGTCGTGATCAGAGCCTCTCCTGCCACCTGTTACCTGTGACTGGGCATCAAGCTGCAGATAGCCATATGCTATGCTGTCCTCCAGACTGGTAGAATTCTTAAACTTCTGGGCCAACCCTCTGCTGTTCCTACCACATAATTCCTTCCAAGTCTTCTCCTACCATGGATGCCATGGTTTTTCAGCTTTACCATTACTGACATTTGAGACCAGAAAATTCTTTGTTTTAGAGCTTTCGGTTCACTATAGCATTTTAAGCAGCATCGTTGCGCTCTGCCCACTAGGTGCCAGTAGCGTCCATCCCTCCCAGTTGCAACAACCCAAAAATGTTTCCTAAAGTTGCAAAACTGTTTCCCAAAGTGGCCTCAGTTGAGAACCAGAGATCTATGCTGATGGTAAGCCAGTGAAGTACTAACACATGGCGTAAGTGAGTTGTGTTAAAATGTATGTAAAGCATTGCAGAACCATTTTCTAGTAGGAGAATCACAAGGTAGCATTCAGCCCCTGCTGGCTGCAGAGTTCCGTAGCTTTGGTTCAGTGCCCCTGTTCTCAGATCCGCAGCCCTTCAGCAAATCAGAGGTGTGGACTGGCAGAAACCTGGCTGGGTGGTCCAGACACCCAATCTTATTTTATTCCTTCTTCCTACATCTTATTTGTTGGACTGTACCAGAAAATTAAAGAAGTAAAACATACAGGCATTTGGATTTTAGGAGTTACTGTCTTCTGGCTTGTCTTAGTCAGCTTCCTGTTGCTGGGACAAAATCCCCAGTGTCACAACTTAGAGGACAAAAGGTTCCTGCTGGCTCAGTTGCAGAGGTGTCAGCCCATGGTCAGCTGGCTTGAAGGGGACAACATCATGGCAGAGGGGCATGGCAGACGAAAGCTGCTTATCTCATGGGGGCAGAAGCAGAGAGCAGGGTCTGAGCCAAAGAGAGAGAAAAGTGCCGAGGACAGGAACATTTCTATCCAGGTTACACCCTCAGGGACGTACTCCTCCAAGCAAGTCCCTCCTCCTAAAGCACATCCAATTATAAACTCATCAGTGGATTCCTCCACTGTTGAGGTTACTGCCCCCCATGATCCCTCACATCCCCAAAGCCCTACCTCAGCGCACATGAAGTTTTGGGGGGACATTTTTGATCCAAAGTGTTACATGGCTTTATTAAAACATATTGCTTCCATCACTCAGTTATAAGAGACTGATTCAAAAAAAAAAAAAGAGACTGATTCAAGAATAGGGTTTCTGATCAAAATACACATGAAGCGAACTGAAATCTTGTTTGGGGTAACATAACATGAAGTCTAAGACCAGACCTACCTTTTTCTCTCTCTTGTAATATCATGTTCTCTTGCTTGATACCCTAACCCTACCCCAACCCTTGGGCTACATTTTTTGATCTCGCTTAACTGGCTTCCTCTGTCTGTTCATTATTTGTGGTCCCCTTGGCTTTAGCTTGCTAATAATGGCTTTGACTTTGCTGTATAAAAATGTGTCAGCCTTCAAGCTCTATTGGTTAGAAAGATTATAATGCATTTGAGGAATCTTAAGTTTTGGAATAGACTGAAGTCCTCAAAATGTAATCATAAGAAAGCCTCAGGAATGGTTTGTTTTGGTAAAAACAATTGAACCAGAATGATTATTAGTGAGATTATTTTAATGAATGTGGTTACACAATTGCACACCAGGTGGCCCTATCAGTCCATGAATTTAAAGACTAAACTCAAGCTCCCAACAAGGATTTCGATGCTTGAACTTTTTCTTTTTGATGGATTACTTCTATAATAACTGACAATTTATGATCAAAAGATTGATTAGTTTTTGCTGAATGCAATTTGACAGCACGCAAAACACATATATGCACTGGGCACAAGTTTTAATGTAGTATTTCTGGAGGCAAGTTTTTTGATTTATCACCAGCATGAAGATGGTCATTTCACTCCTCTTCTACCCTCCTGCGCTACCCTCAGACACTCCAATAACCCTGAAAACCCTATTTAACTTCAATGACCATCCTTGCAAAATTAACCTTGATGTTTTGGTACAAAACTCCACCTACTACTGTGATCTGATAAACTTATTAGCTCTTCAGATACGCTTTTCACAGGGAGATGACCAGTAAGGAAGAGTACTGACCAGAATCCTTAGGGGAAAATATCTCCCCATCGGTGTGGCCTCATTTAAGAAGATACAATTGTACTTCATGTATTCATTCAAATACATAGTGAGTGAAGAAAATATACACGTGTACACTATGTCTTAAGACCAAAAAACAAAACAAAACAAAACCACTCTCTATATCCAAACTACTATTAGGATATAGCCAAGGTCACTATCAGCCAAGGTACTAACTATAGTGTGATGCTTCTAAGAAACAAGAGTTTCAGTGAACTCAACTAAAGTCACTT